AGTTGTTTGCCTATTTATATCGAAGGTGGGATTCTCAGTGCAGATTGATTCTGAAACAAAGTAGGAAATAAGGCTTTTTATAATTTATGGGATGTCTGAGGTCTAAATTGGAGGCGGAAAGATGTCAGTTACTGTCAATGTCGGTTTAATCATTAAGCAAATTAGGCTGTGGCCTAGGGCGGCAAATTCTGGCCGAGGTAGGGGGGGGGGGATGGAAGCAACTAAACGAATAATTAGGAAAGCAAAATATCCCAAAATAGAATATAATAGGCGTCTGAAATGTGTGTAAGTTTTCTTGACGTAGTAACATGCCACGGACAATACTTGGCATGTATGCAGATAGCTGATATGTGTGTGTGTGTGTGCGTAGTGAAGTCGACAATGCCGAAGGCTGAAGGTTCGCCTGGTTCTCTAGAAACCCTTGTGTCGGCCTTAGTTATGTGGTTGGAGCTACTGGAAAAAGTACACTTCATCTCCTGGCTTCACACGAGATACGGTATCAATGATAAAGTGGTATATTCTGTTGAACAAAGAAGTGGTATAAGGCAATGCTGTATTTTAAGCCCCTATCTGGTCGTTTAATATATTTATGGAGGTTGTCATCGATTATGTTGATGGGTTTGTGGGCAGTGGTTTATAGAAGGGGCGAGGTCAAGTGTTAAAGTATGGTGATGAAGAGACCGAGTCAAGGTTTAAAAGAATATTAGGTTATGTTTGATGTGCTCCGAAGGAAAATAGTGCCGGCAGAATTTGCCAACTTAAAGAAAGATGCAGCTATACAAGCCATCCTTATGAACATACATGAGAGTTCATTAATATCTTATTGTGACATGGAATTTGTGGATTAGGGAACCTACAAATCGTTATACAAGAAATGTAAGCAGTGGGTTGGTATGACTCAAGATTTGTATTTAGAAACTGAGAATTATTAGCGATGTAGTAGCGTGTAAGTGAAGAGAATGCTAAACTATATTAACAGTCTAAAATTAAGGAATGTGAGGGAAGATTTGTATAAAGTAAGATGTAAATTGAAGAACAGAATAATAAAGGACACGGTTGGTTCCTGAAAATGCCTTAACGCGAGTAGACCGAAATCAAATAATGTTTATATCAGAGTAAACTCTAGTTGAACCGCCACGGTGGTCTAGCGGTTAGAACGTTGGCCTTGTAATCCTGGGGTCTCGGGTTCGATTCCCGGCGGTGCCCGAATTTATAACTTGTGTTGGGCAAAGCCGGGGAGTTTTCCTCCGGGGGCTTCCCCGGTTTCTCCGTGGCATCCCAACAATTACTCCATTCACACACAGAAGAAGGCAATGGCAAACCACTTCTGGATCATCTGCCAAGAACGTATATGAACAGGTCCCAGTCCGAGAAAAGGATGGAAGGATCCTGTTCATATGGACCTGTCGTCAGACAGAACACTAAATAAATATAAAATAAACTTTAGTTATGTAAGATTTTGAGGTTTTCACAGCGGTGAATATGAAGATTTCTGTCTTCTGGGTTGTGGCGCCGATGATTTCATCGCCCTGATGACAGAGGCAGTGTGATCTCTGAAACGTTGGTAAACATCTACCATACTACACGGCGCAACAACCCAGAAGGCAGAAATCTTCAGACTCTAGTTACTTTTTGCTGTTACTTCTCAGTTTTCCTGAATTCTGTCATGTGAATAACTGGTCACTTGCTGACAACAAACCATTACCGTTGCCACTGACAGTGACCGATGAAACATCACAGCTCAACTCACCGCCCGGGTCAACATGTATAGATTTGATGGATGAGTTTACACAAACAGCACTTCAAAACGTATTTCAGAAGCGGGAAAGTATTCAAGTCTTTCCACTCGTTTAATGTAAGGCTTCGTAGCATCGCAAGAGGATCCATGTAAGCGTAACAGTTAAATAAGCTTATTAGCTTAGGCCTGTACTGGAAAGTAACTTGGTTCTCAGCACAGACGAAGTACATATAAATACACTAGAAGACATTTCGAAAGGTGACTAAAGAGTTTTGAATTTCGAAACAGGAAAACCAAGTGAAATTTGCTAAAATATTGCTCAGTGACTTACGATTGCAGTGCAAAAGTGGCAAGGCGATCAACGTTGATTAACAAAATCAGAAGGGTTGCTGATACAGTCTTCACTTCGAAGACGTGATGTTCCATTTTACAGTTTAAACAAATTTCCTGTTCCTTCCTCCAGACACCTGCAACAAGCACATATCAGACACTACACTAAATACACGGATCCTGTGTCATATAATTCTCATACATGTGTTAAATTTTATTTGATGTAGTATTCAACGACTGCTACTTTGTCCTCAACTGTAAGGGAATAACGTGCATTGAAATGTTTTAATTTGGACGCATCGAAATGACTCGAAAGTTGGAGAAAATACTGTAATGAGCTTTATGATTGGCACTCTTCAACAATAATGTTTAGGGAAATCAAATGGAGGAGGATGAGAAGCGCGGAGAATGTAGAAAAAGTGAGGAAAATGGCAGCCTCGTGCTAAATTTTAGTCTAAGGAACTAGGTATAGATAGAACTGGTCTCGACAGAATTCAACTGGCTCAGGATAATGTTCAGTGGCGGGCTGTTATGAAAACAATAATACGCCTTCGTGTTCAGTAAGTTCTGGATATTCATTAAGTTTCACATTCTAATTTTTAACTTATGTTAGTGTGAATTTTAATTTATTTGCGCCTGGACTTATAAAGCGTACTAATGGATTTGCAAGTTGAAACATTTCAGACTATGTTTTCGCCTTGCTCGCCACAGAATGGTCATGTAGGAATTACTGACTTGAATGTAGCTGACAGTCCGTTATATCCACTGTGATTGTAGTTATTTTTCACGGTAGCAGAACAAACATCAGTTATAAATGAATCTCTGCGCATGCGTCCTCTGTGAAGCGTGTCCCTCCAAATGAACTCTGGTTTCTCACAGCCATTATGAAGAGTGAAATCGTGTTGTAATTCTCCCCACGGCTGGGGTTGTTCTAGGCGCCCCAGTACTTCATTCTGAAGACAGGATGAAGAAAAACGTGATTCTTTGTTCACCAGACAATCGATTAAGGCAAACTGCCGACGTCGAAATGAGTACTTTAACCGCGGTACGCTGAGGACTGTTTTCTGAATAGAGCATCTTCACATTACTTATTTGGTTCGTATTTGGCTACGCGGTGTCAACTGCAGACGTCATTTTGAAGCGAAATAGAGAGAATTGAAGTTGAAGTGGTCGCGTCCTATATGAAGGTTCTATTTAATATTCCCCTGGGTAAAGTGAGAAAGAATACGATAAACCGCCGATGCCCCAACCAAAGTTTGAGCCAGACACACGCCAGCCGCTTAAACTATTCTGCCCAAATTTGGTGTGTGTCTAGTATTTCCTCTGTCAAAATCTCTGGAACAGAGTCCTTCTTGAGAAGTTAGTACTCGCTCAGCAAACCAAACGTTCGCGCCTTTTATGTAACTTCACGTCATAATGTAAGACACACATCGATATTATCCTCCGATCTACGCCTAAATCCTCCAAATAATTTCTTTCCTTCAAATTGTTTACCTAAAGTTTTGTGTGAAGTCCTTACCTCTACAGTGCGCATTAAAATCTGTAACGGCCAAGCTATTTATTTACTGTCATTAACCCGAGATAATGACGTCATTTTTCCCTGACAAAGATGTTATGAACATACTTCTTGTTTCTGAATGAATTTATTTACCTTAGTTGTGATTGGCAGTTAAAGAAATTATTACTTGAAATGGAAGTTACCGATTGGTTCTTAATAACTTCATTCGTGCATACACGGAATTGAATGTGAGATTGACTGAGCCGTGAGCATTCGTTGTTCATTTTTATTTTAGTTGTTCATTGCACATTGTACAATAATAATGTACGATAAAATGGTGGCTTAAGTGCGCCAGTCGGCAATACTGTGCCTGCCAACGACCACCAGGACAAAAATACGAATTAAGCACCCGACGTTCATAGAACGGGTTAGGTATCCTAAATTAACATTAACAAGCTCAGATAAAATATTAAGATTTTAACATTCAGAACCGGTCACCTTTACGTTTTAATTATGTTTATTAAACTGTTTATTTTATGGCAAATATGTAATGTTATATACCAGTAAACTGTTCATGTAAAGTGGCTTGAACAGCTATAATAATAGAATAAAAATTTTCTTGGATATTATCCATCGTCTAGTAAATATAAAACGTAAAACGACGTTTCGAAGATGGGACTCTATCTCCGTCTTCAGGTTCCTACACAGTTGGACCCACTAGATAGAGCTAATCCCTATCTCCGGACCTTCCATCGTCTAGTAAATATAAAACGTAAAACGACGTTTCGGAGATGGGACTCTATCTCCGTCTTCAGGTTCCTACTCAGTTGGGCCCACTAGATAGAGCTAATCCCTATCTCCGGACCTATTAGCTCTATCTAGTGGGCCCAACTGTGTAGGAACCTGAAGACGGAGATAGAGTCCCATCTCCGAAACGTCGTTTTACGTTTTATATTTACTAGACGATGGATAATATCCAAGAAAATTTTTATTCAATTGACTCTTCACCATCGTCAAGAAGTTTTAGATTTAAGCTATAATAACAAGTTAACACTCTTTACTTGATTTTCTGTAAACGGATTATATTTGTGGTTGGTATTTTTTTACTGAATTATGAAATAAGATTTCATTTATGTATTCTTAATTGAAGCTAATTTTCGCTATATTTAGCTCTAGTGGTGGCTGCCACGATTTGATTCTCAGCAGAGTAACAGTTTCAACAATATGCCTCGTGATTAATGGAGAGAAGACTCTGTGGCCTCATTGTTTTTAACTGCGTGGGACACAAGACGTATAAGTTAATTGGTTTCTTAGAGATGTGTGACCCTGTTTTCAAGAACTCGGGTTGATTGATAAATCTTCAGTAACGTAAATGTAGCAAAGAGGACGAAAAAAGATTTAAAAAGGCCTTTGGAAAGTGTACTGTCCGTGCAAAAACCATCTGTTTCCAGCAATCTTATATTGAACAAAATTAGTTAAATAAATTCGGTACTTTAGGTTAATGTAACGTCATCATCGTTTATATTTTCCGCCGCAATCCCTCCCAGATATGTCTGTGACAGTCTTTTTGTGAAATGATAAAAGATAAGGAGTGATCAAAATTACAGGTGTGAGACCATTTATACAGGAGAATTGCGTTCTTTAAGATTTGAAATGTGTGCAGTTCAAAACTATAATCTACGCATTCTGTCTCGCATTAGAAGGAGACTGGAAGAACAATGAAATGTTTCATTTAATTACGAAACCAGCAAAACAACAAAATGGTAACGTTTTCGGGTACTTTGTGGGAAAACAACGCCACTTTTTAAAATTTAACCGATTTGTTTCGACCTTGTGTATCTCTGCTTGTGTTACGAAAAATTATGAAATTGGAAACAATATGAACGTATGTACGTACAAACGAACCATCACCACTACTTCATTAAGAGCCATTCTAATATTAATCTCCCATTTAATTTTATAATTTTCCAGCGATTTCTTTTATTCAGGTTTTACAAATAAAATTCTGAGAGCGTTTTTTATCTCTAATCTCCTCTTTCTTAATTTGGTTATCTTCTTATTAATATTTAGTGAGAAATATGTTTTATGAATTCCTTAATTAAGCAATTTTCACCGTTTTGTTATTTTTTTCCCCCGTCTTAGGTCAAAGTAGGCATTTCTTCTCAGACAGGTTTAAAATTGTAATTTTACGCACAAACACACAGCTGTATTATTTGTACTACTGCCTACATTCAACAGTTCCCTTAAGACTGAAGCTGCTGAATTTACATCTAGGAGAAATTGGTGCTAGATGGGGTACGGAGATGATAAGTGGTACCTACTCTGTTTCAGCCACAAAGTGCTGCATTCCATTGTTTATTCCTGGAAGTAATCACACACTTCCTTTCCTTGTTTGTGCTGGTGAAAACACGCTCACAAGAGTTAACAGCTCCATTTCTTTGAATTTTACCTCAACTGATCTAATATCATGGTAATTTTCAACCAGTGTACTCAGTATTATGTTGGTGACTTATACCAAAAACAGCATACAACTGGCTGTGCATGAATGAGTAGTGGTCACATGTGTTGAACCGAATATCTGTTAAGGTGTGCTGGGGTCATGGTGGGACGAGGCGCGATCAGATATCCAATCATATCCCACAGCTTCCCTGTCTTCACATTAGACATGTTTATAGTCGTTTATGTGTTCCAAATTGTTAGATGATTTCTATAATGGTAAGACTAATATATATAAACTTTAACTTCTCTTTGGCGATCACTGATTGATGACAGCACGGGCGATGATGTCATTAGTCTTACGACAGACTTGATGTCAGTTAGTTAATGTGACGACTGATATATGGCTGTAATGATTATTGATAGATGGCGTTTTGAGTAACAGTGTTTCGTCCGAGGGTCATCTTCCCACCTCACGATATTAAGATGGTGTTATCGATCGAAGGAATGCGGTAGACAGACAGACATGGACGGGCGTACAACACATTTTTTGTTTGTGCTAAAGCGTAGATAATACCTAATAAATGTAATTAGTTGAATGGGCAGAGACCTTGAGAAGCCGATAATAGGCTTTGCTAATCAATAAATATTCCGTCTTTTATTGAACAAGAATATTCATACTGTACCATATTACTAACATCGATTGAGAAATTACACACACAAAGGTACCGGAATAAGCCGGCCGGAGTGTGAAGCTAATCTCATTATTTAACCTAATTCCGCACAAGATCTGGCCCCATTCAAGCTCTCGTAACGTGGTAGTGTACGCCATTTTGTACCTTTATGAAGTACACACATTCTTTACTTCTATTAAGTAAATGTCTACAACTTTTTCATTTTCACATTACGCCATCAATAATTTACTGTAACAAAATAGATTCTTTGATACAGGTTTATCTCCTTCGATGTCACTCTTCATTAAAAGTCCTAGTGTCTTTTTTCAAAAAAGACCCTGGAGCACAAGTTTGCATTATATATTGCAGACATTTTGAATCTGAACACCCTGATAATGGAGGCAGCAAGGACCTCTGAAACGTCGTTAAACTTCTACCAGACTACACGGCACAACAACTCAGAAGACAGCCATCTTCATACTCACCGCCGTGGAAACCTCAAATCCTGAATTTTGAACATGCTTAGCAT